CTCCCGGCCCCGCCCCGCCCCCGGTGCCGCTCCGCAGCTGGGCGCGGGAAACACCCCGACGCCCTGGGAGTCGGCAGCGCCCGCAGCTCCCACCCAGGCAGCCGCAGCTGAGAGAAGCTAGATGGCCTGCCGGCATCCATTCTCACAGCAAGCAAGGGGCGAAACCAGGATTCACGCCCAGGCCTGGCTCCGAGTCTGAGCAGTGAGCCCCCACGCTCGCCTGGGCACCCGTGAGCTGGAGTGTGCAACCCTGGGAAAGGGCCCCTGCCAGGCCCATCAGTATGAAGGGAGACCAGTGGCTTCCCAACCATCTTGCTTAAGATGCCTGATGCCTGAATGTAAACCCTCCAGTGATGACATTTTCTCTCTCCCCTTCTCTTTTAAAGTAGATTTTGCTTTTTAGAGTTTTAGGCGTACAGCAAAACCGAGTGAATAGTAGGTTCCCCTAGACCCCTCCCCAACGCCCCCCAGGGGCACGTTTTTACAGCAGATGAACCTCCACTGGCCACCAGCGTCACCCAGCATCCACAGTTCTCCTCAGGGTCCACTAGTGGTGCTGGGCACCCTATGTGTTTGGACACGTGTCCACTATGGTGTCTCGCAGAGGGCGATTCACTGTCCCAGAATCCCTCCGTGGCCGTTCTAAAGGGTGTGGAGGGGACCTCGCTGTTGCTGGCCCATCTTTTAACCAGGTTGCTTTCTTACTGTTCACTTTTAAGAGTTCTTTGTGTGTTTCGGATAATAGTCCTTTACCAGATGGTCTTTGAAAATGTCTCTTCTAGTCCTTTGAGTCTTTGACAGGCCTTCTACAGAGCAGAAGTTTTTAATTTTAGCAAATACAGGACATATTTTTGAACTGCCCATTTAATTCTGCTTGTACCTTTGAGTAATCCTACCTTTTCACTACTCTCTTCAAGACAGCATAAAGTCTTCATTTCAAAGTCGCCTTCTCTAATGGAGACTGTCTCAGACACTGTTTACAGAATTTCTTTGTTTGCTTTAAGAGCCGAGGGAAGTGGATTTCACCGGCCTGCTTCTATGAGTGGAGATTGCGTTTGAACAGGAGATACCTGCTGCTTTGAACTTAAGCCAAGAAAGTAACATTTCCAAATGTCCTTTCCATTGTGAAAGTTTTGACAGATGACTCATTCTGGAAATTATTACTTAAGAGATAAAATTGGTCCTTTGGTCCCAATGATCTTAGCTACTCTCTGTTCTTTCAGTGATTTAAAAAAGAAATGTGATCGATAACAAATGTGAATATCTATATAAAGTACTTTAATTCAGAATTTCTCTTAAAGATGTCAGTTCTTACTGTAGCTGGAAAGCATGTTAATTTTTCAGATAAAGACCAGGAGACATCAATTAGGGCTACAGTCATACACTTAGTCCTGAAGATGGGGAAGAGTGGAGCACTCCTCCTCCTGCCAGGCCCGGGGGGGGGGGCTGAAGGTCACAACAGAGCCCCCCTTCTCTGTCCTGGGGCAGCCCACCTAAACGCGCAAACAGAAAATGAGCATGCTGCAGCTTGTTCGGTTTCCAATCCCTCATTCTGAAGTTAGAAAACAAAGACTATTGGAGGCTTCTGGAGAATTATTTTGGCATCACACACAAGTTATTAGAAGGAAAAAAGATCAGCCTGCTATTAAAGACTCAACAGTATGAACCTCTGCACTATAGACAATCTGTCTCAGTAAGGTAGATCTAAAACCTAAGAACTTGCCCTGTGCACCTGAGGAGTGCCCTGTGTTCGTGCCTCAGCGTGAGGGTGGCGGGTGAATGCATTCAGCCCCGAGGGTTCTGGAACTTCATGGAGGAACTCAGGCAACCTCTATACTCAGCAAAGGAACCATTAAATAGTTCAGGTAACCTACCATCCGGAAGATGTTTAAACTGTTTGATGCCATCCACCCACTTTTCACAGGTTTTTGCAAAGTAGTCATGCCCATATAGGGCTTCCAGAGGCTTTTTCGTTTTCTCACTCCACTTAGAAACATCTCGGATACCTGAAAAATACAAGTGTGAACAGGAACAGGTTTAGTGTCATACTAAAGTTTACCTGCAAATGTTCCAAGCACAGTGCAGCTCAGAGCCACTGCCTGCTGTTCTGTCGGCCAAGAACACTTACCCAGGCTTCCACAGCTCACTCCTCCCTCCATCTGGGTTGTGAGGCCTTTCCTTCAGACCACCCTGCCCCTCCTACTCTGCCTAGCACTTACCACTCCTTCCCAGCGCTTTCCCTGCCCGCGGCTGAGTGTCTGTCTCCCCACCAGGATGTAGCCCCCCAGTGTGAAGGACTGCGCTTTGCTTTGTCGCCCACGGCACCCCAGGGCCTGACCAGTGCTGGGGACAAAGCAAGCACACAGTAAATTCTTACCATGTGGACGAAACCAGATCTGCACTTACTGCTGTCTGCTAAAGGCATACAACTTAAAAAAGATAGTCCTCTAATCAGGGCCATCTGAGTAAGGGTGACATTGTTTACAAAAGAGGGTTTTTTTCTGAATTGTATTTATGTACATTGAGAAGTGCACACAAATGATTTATTTTCATTTCTGCTACTGAAGAAATATGGGTGTAAAAGGCTAAATACTAACTTCAAACGATACTGTAGATGATTATTAGACTAGGGAGTGTAGCTAAAATAAACACACACATCACTCACTCAGCTAATCTCTTCCATGCCTCTCCAGATGCACTGCACACAGATGCTACCCATCTGAGCACAGCAAACAGTGCTCGTGTGGAGCTTCTCATACGGGGCTTCTGCTACAAGATGCACCTTGAAGACACCGTGACACTGATGGTGAGAATTCACACTGAGTAAGACCTTGGACAGCACTCAGACCGCGCCAAGCCCCAGCAGATGCGCAGTATGTACTCAGAGAGTGGAAATAATGAAATAGGAAAATGGCTACTTACAGCTGCCTTCTCAGGAGGAAGGTCCTGCTACAGTGTTGCCTCTGCTCTCTGACTGCTTCATCTGTGGGGGTGCCCAGAGTTGAATAAGAGGCGGAGGGGAGCAGAAATCTCTGTGCAAAAGTGAAAAGGCTTCAGAGAGAACTGCAGAGAGGAACTGGAAAATTAAGAGGTGGGGGAGATTTGGGAAGAAGAAAAAGGAAAGTTGAAAGATGGGGGATGGAGGGAGGTACTAGCAAGATCCTATGAAGATGGCCAGTTTCCCTGTGGGCAGAATACTACTCGGACGTGAAAAAGAAGGACCCCTTACCCTTTGCAACAGCACTGATGGACCTGGAGAGAATTGTGCTCAGTGAAATAAGCCAGTCAGAGAAAGACAAATATCACATGATCTCACTCATATGTGGAATCTAATGAACAAATTATACAAACAAACGAAACAGAAACAGACTCAGATACAGAGAACAGACTGACAGCTGTCAGAGGGGGGGGGAGGGGCTGGGTGAGAAAGGTGAAGGGATTAAGAAAAAACAAACAAACACGACAACCCTCCCCCGCAATCTAACAGAGACAACATTATAGTGACTAGCAGAGGGAAAGGAGGGTAGGGAGACTTTATAAAATAAATTTTAAAAAATTCCCTGTAGATATTTTTACTTCTGGCTATATAACGGACAACACCCTCTGAAGGTCCGCTCTCAGTGGAACTAGATCTTTATGATATACAGTTTTTGTTGCACTGTTGGAGTTGCAGTAATGGACTAGACTAGGAATGTGTGTGAGAATATACTGTATGTGTAAGGGAAAGCGAACCCAGAAAATAGAACAAAAAGTGATAAGACTACTAAAAGGCAGGGCTGCTTTTGGGGAAAATGTGACTATTAATGGGGTTGGGAGGGTGCAGTGAACCTGAGATTCCCATGTTAGGCTGAGATGCAAACTCCACTGCCTGGTGGGGCCTTGTGGTTCCCAGGAGCAGTGAATGCACACGCTCTGTGGAGGAAGCATTCTCTCACGATGCCCACTGGTCTTCCCTGTGGTTCCCAGAGTAACATAAGTAAATACTCCTCCTAATTGAGATCACAAAACAATCAGAATCCTTACAAAGCTAATGGAAGGACTAAAAAGTTGGAAGAGAAAGCTTAAAGAATTATGCAGAACCCCTGACCTTGAGATAAGAAGCTGGAGTAGAGGTTGGGAGAATGGAAAGACAAGGTCTACATGTCCAACCAGCCCCAGCAAAGAGGAAAGGAGACACGGGACAGGCAGTATGAAAGGGGAATGCAAGAATGCTTTCCAGAACTGATCAAAGAATTCACAAATTAAATGTTATCCAAATAAGAGAAATAAAAAGAAGTCACACTTAGACACAGAACAGAAAATCAGGAACGCGTCAAAGGAAAAGAGAGAATCTGAAAAACAGGCAGAGATAAGACACATCACTCCACAGGGAGGACATCAACTGACAAAACTTCTCAACAGCAGTTAAGGCAAGAAGAAGACAGTGTAATGTTGGAGAAGATAATTTTCCACTTATATTTCTGTCTTAGCCAAACAATCTTTCAAGAATGAGGGTGACATAAAAGACATTCTTAGGTAAAAGCTGAGTTTACTATTAACAGACCTTCCCTTAAAGAAATTGTAAAGAGTAATTTCAGGAAAGAGAGAAAGGCCCTTAGAAGGAATGTCTGGGATGAAAGAAGGAAGGTGAGCAGAGTCACTGACAGACAGCTTGGTGAATGTAAAAACAAACAAAATCTGCAAGGCTAGTGAGAAAGTAAAACAGTGTAACATTTCCTTATATTAAATTAAATAGCTTTGTACATAAAGAAAGCAAAAGACAAGCCACAGGTTGTACACAACATAACTACTAACACAATTACTAACCAGCAAGGGGTTAGCAATCAGATTTTCAAAAAACAAAAAACAACCCCCATCTGCAAGCCAATAGCACTGAAGTAATGTTGGAAGTGTTCTAGTCTGTTGTTACACCTGATAAGGTTTATCTGTTAAACATACTGTGTTATATGTATAACCATTGCCTAGTAAAATTTTAATAATAAAAAGAAATGACACGAATCAGTGTAGTACAGAAGAAAAGCCAGTGGTGCATAAACACATAAAAAAATCCTCATCCCCACTAATAATAGAAAAATGAAATTTAGACCACAAATAAAATACCATTTTCATCCATTTGGCCAGATTGAAGAAGTCTGATAGAAAGATGGCAACAGACTGAGTGGAAGCTACACTGACACTCTCCCAGAACCAAACTGGACTTACAACTAAAATACAGAAAAGCCATCCTCAATAATCAACTGCAACTGAATACCAACTGGAGAGCACCCTCATGACCAAAGAGGAAAAGGGGAGACCACATAGAGTCTGGTAGGAAGTACAGAGGTGACATGGCTGGCTGGGCTCCCACAGGCAGCAGCTGAAGGTCCTGAGAGAGATCTCAGCTGGGGGCGGTTCCCACTGAGGACTCTGGAGCCTACGCCCCAGTCTGGGCTTCCCAGCTCAGAGCACCAGAATTGAGAAAGGTGCCCACATAACATCTGGCTGTGAAAAGCAGCAAGGTTTCTGTCTCCCAGGGAGACATGGCTAGAAATGCAGGCACCCTCTTAAAGGGCCAATGCACAAAGTTTTCTGTGCAGCCACTCACCTTGGGCTCCAGAAGAGGGAGGGCAGAGTGAACTGGAGCTGTGTGAGGAGGATCTGGGGTTGTGGGCACTGGAGATAGAGCTCAGAGGGCACCCCACTGGATTCCTGTGTGGAGTCATTCCCCCAAACTGCAGAGGGCATCTTTCACAGGCAGACACTCACCTTCCAAGCAGTTTTTGCCTGGAGGGGAAGCAACTGCCCTACCCTGCTGGAAAACCTCTTGCCCTACCCTGTGGAGTTTCTACAGCCTGAGGCTCATTAAGAAAATCAGATTAATCAGCCTGCAGGCAGGGGCAGACCTCAGAGTGCTTTGCATCTTTGCCTGATCTGCTTCTGGACCTGGCCCTTGGAAAAGCAGACTCTGTTGTGCATCTTGGTCCTGTCCAAATGTGCCCAGCCCCAATAGAGGGGACCTCAAGCAAAATAGGGTACTCAGGGCCAGTCACAAACAGCGCCTGACATTGGCCTGCACCAGAAATGGTCCAAAAAGACTGAGAGTCCTAGAAGGCCTACCTAATACATAGAAACAAACCCAAATAGGCAGCCAAAATGAGGCAACAAAAAACTAAGCCCCGAATGAAAAAACAAGTCTCCAGATGAAGAGCTAAATGAAATGAAAATAAGGAATTTTTCAGATATAGAGTTCAGAATACTGATTATAAGGATGCTCAATAGTATGAAAAAAGATATGGAAACTATGAAAAATGACCAGATAGAAATTAAGAATGACATAGCAGAAATAAAGAATATATTGGAAGGAATAAGAGAAGATTAGAGGAAGCTGAGGATCAGATCAAGTTAGAAGACAAGGTAGAAAAAACATCACTCAATTAGACATCCAAAAAGAAAAAACAATTAAAAAACAGGAGGACAGTTTAAGGGAGCTGTGGGATAACATGAAACGTAACAATATTCACACCATAGGAATGCCAAAGGTCAAACGTGAGCAAGGGTTAGAGAACCTGTTTGAAGAAATAATGGCAGAAAACTTTCCTAACCTGGTCAAGGAAAAAGTCACACAAGTTCAGGAGGCACAGAGAGTCCCAAGAAAGAAAAATCCAAAGAGGCCCACACACAGACACATCATAATTAAAATGCCAAAAATTCAAAACAAAGAGAGAATACTAAAGGCAGCAAGAGAAAAGCAATCTGCTACCTACAAAGGACCTCCCACAAGGCTGTCAGCTGACTTCTCATCAGAAACTCTACAAGCCAGAAGGGAATGGCATGAAGTATTCAAAGTAATGTAAAACAAGGATCTGAAACCAAGACTGCTCTATCCAGCCAGGCTATCATTTAAAAAAGATGGTGAAATAAAGAGCTTCCCAGACAAAAAAAGGCTAAAGGAGTTTGTCACCACCAAATCAGCATTGCAGGAAATATTAAAGGGACTGCTGTAATTAGAAGTAGAAATAGAAGCATTGCAAGAAATCTTTAAGGACTGCTGT